GGGAGGGAGGGAGATGATTTTCTTGGTGAATCAAGGTGGAGCCAGGATTGAACTCAGTAAGGGTTGGAGGGAGGCACCTCTACTTAGTGAGCCATCTTGCCAGCCCTTACCAATTGACCAGCGCATTAATTCAACCCAGGTAGGAATGTGCTGTTACTCATGGAGGAACACCACCTCCCTACTGCCTTAGAAGTTCAGGAGTGGTACCACTCCTCATGAACACAGATTTTGGTTCCATGGGAACAGTATGGCTTCCTTCCATCAGTAGCTGATGGCTTTCACCCTTTCTTAAGCCAGGTTGTATCTCCATCCATTTCCCTATCATTTCCCATCACATGCATGTGCAGACATGTATGTCAGTGTATGAAGACAGGGATCTATATGCATTATGTATATTTTGTATATTGTATATTACGGGTGTGTGTATGTGTGTATGTATAGTCTATATGGAAAAGTATACATATATTAATGTATACTATACATATGTGTGTTTACTCACATACAACACATGGAAGGATGTATTCTATACTTGTGTGTGTGTTTATGTGTATCACACATGGATGGGGATATGTGTGCTATAACATAACTGTAGTTGTGTACAAGTGTTTTGTGGAGAACAGATTTTACTCTGATTATTACATGAGCTAAGGGGGATCATTGTAGCCCACTGTGGAACTCTCCAAGCTGATTCCTTTGCATCATCCCACAAACCCACTTCTAAATATTCTGTGAGCACCAGTCTCAAGGTATCCCATTCACTGATAGTACCCAAACTGCCCTGACCTTCCCACAGCAGGCTGCAGACTTGTTTTCTGGTCAGGTCTGATGGGACCCTTTCTTCTGTTCCCTCAGAGTTCTTCTGGAGGATGGGAAGGCCACAGTGCCCTGTCTGGCAAAGAGGCTGACTATGGAGCTCACCTCCCACATCGATGTAAGCAGGGGCATCTGTGTGTTCCTCAAGCTAAGCTGGGACTGGGGCAGTCCTGGGCACACAAGCTAGGAGACATTCCATTTGCACAGATATGTTGTGTCTGGGAATTGGTGACTCCAGCATCAGAATGTTTTGTGCTGGTTCCTACTGTTGTCACCCTGAGTTCTTGGTGGCATAACTGTGACCACCTCACTCTGGGGTTGATCATGGGAGCTTGAGCTCTTCAGATAGAAGCCATGTTCACTCTTCTCTGACCTGGTGGAGTTTGCATCTCAAAATGCCTTAGTTCTCCACCTGGGGAGTGATTTAGCTAGTTATCAAACCTGCTTGAGGATTGGCTGAGGGCAGATACTCAGCAGTGATCTTGCCCTGGGCTCTTCCTGTGTTCAAAGTTTTCCTGCAGCCCCCAGGATGCAGGTGGAGATAAGTGTATCTCCTAGGGACCATTATCTTTAGTAATCTTCTCTGGGCCTCTTTGATGTAGACAGAGATGGCTTCTCATTGAACTTTATGTCCCAAGCCGCTTGGGGACAGCAGAGCTGTAGAGGTCGTGGAAGACAACCCAAGAGTTGAGGGATCTCATGGTAGTCCAGTTGCTTTTGTTTCAGAAGCTACTAGAAAGTTCTCTGTAGGGTCTCTCTGCAGAGAGTTCATGTTTTTATATGTAAAGAACTGCCCCCGGCTGATTCTTCTAAGTAAAAACCGTGTATAGAGGGCAACATTATGGAGTTGTATGTCCAGTACTGGTGTGTGGGTAGACCTGGGTGGAAATGGTGTGTCTAAAACACTAGTGTGCACCAGAGATATCTTCAGAGGCTGTCAGAATATCACAAACATTCTCTGTGGTGGCATGAAATCATATCTGCTGAGGCTCATGGCTGAGGAGACACAGAGTGAGTGGATGAGCTGCTTGTGCCACAGCCGTTCTTCTGAGTAGGCTTGTGGCCTCCTTCATATTCCCAGTCTGTTTTTGTATGTCCCACTCATTTTTTTCCACTTCAGAAATCGCTGCCACTATTGGAATATCAAATAAATAAGAGTCACCAGAGTGCATGTGAGGAGCTGCAGAAGTTCGGCGCAGACGTACCAGAAGACAACAGTAAGAAGATGTCCTTTCTGATGAATGTGAGCATGGGTTGTGATTCCTGTGGAGGATTTCTGCATCACTATCTTACAGGGATCTCTTGGGTCCTCCCTCTCCTAAGACTGACAGAAACACATGCTGTCCAGCAGTATTACTGCAAGGGGGGCAAGCACTGATGGATGGAGCCAGGGTAAAGCTTTGGGGGACTTTGGAATGTGCTCTGTTCACCCACACTGGCAGAAGAGCCCTCCTTCAGGATGCAAAAGTGGAGGGGGAGGGAGAGGCTGGGATTTCCTGACACCCAAAGACTTTTCTCTCAATTATGCAACCCTCAAAGTATGCATGTTCTTTATCCAACTGGCCTTATATATGAATTACCTCTTTCACAGAAAATCAAGATCTTCAATGATAATATCATGACTTTGGTACAAGCACAGGAAACCATATCAGGGGGAGACAGCCGGTTGTTTACCAAACTGCGAAATGAGTTTCTTGCTTGGGATGAATGTATTAAGGAACATTTCAAAAAAAGTGAGTGTCTATTTGGGTTGGTATGCTTCATACTTCAGTCATTTGAATTTAATCACTAAAGGTAAAGAAGGCCTTGTCTATAATTCAAGGTCAAGGCATCAGAAGATGAGGTGTTGGGTGAGGGCTCCATCTCTGCTCTAAAGATGGCACCATCTAGCCTGCTCTTTGTGTGAGGAAGATGGGAACCAGCTTTCTCTGGCCTTTGTTCTGAGGATGCACATCTCCTTTGTGAGGATGAGGCCAGATGTCCTGGTCACTTCTTAAAGGCCCACCTTTAATGCTACCACAATAGGGATGAAGTTATGAACTTGGGGGATATGTTACTCCCACAGCAGTGACTTCAGGAAACACCACAGGCCTGGGGTTTAGTGGACACTTGGGAGTGTTATGCTGAGGATGAGAATGTCTAGAGGGTACAGGAGCCATATTTGCTCTGCTTTGAGTCCCAGGGCCCATGCTACCTTTCCTTGACTCTTAAGAATGTCTAGTGAAAAATGCAGGTTAATCATTATAGTTAACCGCGGCTTCTAGAAGGATCTATGCTCCTTGAGTACAGAGCAGATGTACATGGTGTGTACATAGGTACACAGAAAGCATGGCCATGACTACAGGGCTGGGGAGAGGGAAGAGAGGGAAGAATTGATTAATGATGATGGTGGCAGTTCCATAAGGTAACAGAAAGGTGTCAGAAAACTGCAGTTTGCATCATAGCATAGACCTGTGATATGCTAGAAGTCACTGGCGTGTTCATTGTAAATGAGTCCTACTGCCTGTGAAATGCCAAGATTTCCTATAGGACTGCCTTCCCATCTAAGAGGGATAGCACACAGTCAGGTCTTCACAAAGGAAGCTTTGGGAAGGTCTGCACCTGATGGGCTGTCTCTCACAAATATTGTTATGGAAATAGGGGGGAGGAACTAAGCATTTTATTTTGTGTATACTTGGGCCATCCAGGTGCTTGCCTGCCCACCCTGTAGCCCCTTATTCAGAACACTGCCTCTTCCCACAGATGGACCCGTAAACCCTCACATACAAGGTTGTTTTGTGGTCATGTCTTCCGGTTTTTCTCTTGCTGGATCCTGCTTTCACCTTTGCTTCAACTGAGGGAAGTGACCTTTGACACTGTTTCCTTATTGTAGTTTCAGAGGAACAGATAAACATTTCATTTAATTTTTTCACTGGTACTCATCTTTTCAGAAAGACTAGAGTGGAAGGTTTTTATTTTTATTATCTTTATAGTTTTTGCAAAACAATTCTTCCAGGCCTAGATTCTCCTGAGTTACAGAGCAAGATGGAAGAATTTGAAAATCAGTATCGTGGCCGGGAGCTGCCAGGGTTTGTGGACTATAAGGCATTCGAGAACATCATCAAAAAGCAAGTCAAAGCCCTGGAAGAGCCCGCTGTGGACATGATGCGCAGGGTCACTCGTGAGTAGTGTTCTGAGTCACTGGGGAATGCTGTACAAGGTTACTGAGGAACCCTGCGCAGGGTTGTTGTGGTACACAGGGTCACTAGGCAGTATTGTACAGGGTTGCTGGTGAACTGTCATGGGACCACTGAGAAACGCTGTTACCATAATTATCATTTCACTTCTGAGATAGGAGACATTAGCACCTCAGAGAACCTGAGGGCAGTGCTACACCTCAGAGTGGCCCTCTTGGGCTGGTTCTAGGTAGGTGGCAGGTTTTCTGTGTTCCAGATGCCACTGTGATGTTCAGGAATTCAGTGTGTTCCAACCCTATGGGCAGAGGAATTTTCTGTCAGAAGACAGTCACCTAACTTCCTAGGTCCTTGATCTGGGAAAGAGCACAGCCAGAGTCTTTCATGCAAGGTGAAGCTGGTCCTTATCCATTACAGGGCTTCCACCTCAGCTTTCCTCTCCCTGTGTAAGCAGCAGCCCTGTCTCCTGGGCTCAGCACCAATTCACTTTGCTGTCCAGCTGAAGCCCTCTTGAACTTCCCTACTTCCTGTGCTGCTGACTACCTGGAGTTGGTGCAGAGCCCATAAGTCCCAAGAGACTGTCCCTCAATACAGCAGCACTGTCAGAGTCCACCATTCTCTTGGCTGGCCCTCTGAATTCGTGCAACCCTCTTCTTAGAGTTAGTGATCACAGAACTTGGGAGCAAAGCTTCACTGACATTGTGTATCATGTGGAAATTACAAAGGACCCTCCCATGACTTTGTATCCATAACAAAGAGTGCCCCTCAGAGTAAGTGAGCTGGCAGCCCTTAGCTGATGTTGCCGGGTGTGCTCTGTGGTGGCTGAGGCATCTGTGTTAGATGGTTGTGGTTCTCCCAGAGCATCTTGTGGGAGGTTCTGTCAGGTGATTGTGTCTACAACTATCTGCATGACATAGAGGCTTTAGTCACTTTTATGACAACTTCCACAGACAGAAGTAAATTCTCCAGAGGAAAGGAACTAATGTTCACTTTCTGATTTCTGTTAAGGGCTCTTGGGTTCATTTCATGCAGATAACCAGGCACTTAGGTCTCACAGACAGGAATGAGATGTAGGTAGCAGGTTTTCACAAGGAAGTGCTGTATTTATAATTTGCTAGAAATATCCTTGGAAGCTGCTTAGGATACAGGCCATACTCCATGACAAGAGATAGAGAGATTTCCAATACTTGCATAGCTGCTGAGCCACAGAATACACCTTCCCCCAAATTCACAAGGGGAAAAGGGAAAGACAGAGAGGGAACGAGAAGAAAGCAGTTTTTAGCCATATTACCTTACTTTACTTCCCAGTCTATACAGAGTATAGATGGTCTTGTCAATATTGAACTTTTTTTCTCTCTTTCATCAGAGATGGTTCGAATCGCCTTCACAAAGATTTCATCAAACAATTTTGGTGATTTTTTAAACCTCCACTGTACTGCCAAGGTAAATCCAAATGCATTTTATTTTTAAGAGAATAATGAATAACCATGACATGGAACTAGATTTCTTGGTTTGAGGCCTTTCCAACTTTCTTGTGTCTGTTAAAAGAAGCGAAGATTCAAATACATGTTTGAGTCTTCAAGACACTGTTACAGGTCTTCTGGTTAAAACGGATTTGAGAACAGAAAGAGGGGAGGGGATGAATTCAGAGACACCAGGTCAAGATAGCCTTGTCAGGCGGAAGCAAGTTTCCATGTAGAGGAAGTGGCCCTAACACTGAACACTCCATAGGAACATGAAATATAATAAAAATGGGAGGAACCTGTTTGCCATTCTTGACATCCCTTGAGAAATGTTTACTTATGACCTAGTGCATAGCAAAACCAACTTGACAGAAGGTTTGCTCTGGCTTACAGTTTGAGGGGATACAGTCTGTGGTGCCAGAGAAGGCTGAATCTTACACTTAGCTCTTTATCCTTTTTACTTACTCCAGAACCCCAATCCATGGGCTAGTGTTGCCCTAATAGGGCAGGTCTTCCCATCTAATTTAAACACCATCATATTCAGAGACTTGTTTCCTGAGTGATTGATTCTAAATTCAATCAGGTCAGCATTAGAAATTGAGCCTCACAGCTGGGGGAGACTCACATCTGGCTCAGGTTTCCTCTGGTCCCTACCCTTGGCTGATAGAACGGCAGGGACAAGTGGAGCAAGGGGGTCCTGGGGCTATTCCCAGGCAATACCTGCTTTTGTTCTTGCAGGTGGTCTGATTCTCATGGATGCATCAGCCATCCTGTGTTCTTACTCTCTGCCTTTCTTGAAGGTTATTGACTGTTTTTCTCTCCCTGCAGTCCAAAATTGAAGACATCAGATTAAACCAAGAAAAAGAAGCTGAAAAGCTGATCCGACTTCACTTCCAGATGGAACAGATCATCTACTGCCAGGACCAAGTTTACAAGGAAGCCTTGAAGAAGATCAGAGAGGAGGAAGCCGAGAAACAAAAGGCTAAGGGGTTAAACCCTGTTACTTTTCAATATAACTCTCAGTTTCCTCAAAAGGAGTTGACTACCCCCGAGATGACCCATCACCTGAAGGCCTACTACCAGGTAAAAGCAGGAATGCTTCCAGCTGGGCTCCCAGCCCATTCCCTCCCCTTCAGGGTGCCTTTCCATATAGGGGTATGTGTGTGAGTTAGTCCTATCCCCCTCCTCCTGCTTCTATGAGGATGTGCCCCAACCCATCCACTCACTCCCACCTCTCCACCCTTGAATTTCCCCACACTGGGGCACCCAGCTTTCATGGGACCAAGGACTTCCTCTCCCACCTATGCCCAACAAGGCCATCCTCTCCTACATATACAGCTGGAGCCATGGGTCCCTCCCTATGTGCTCCTAGGCTGGTGGTTTAGACCTTGGGAGCTCTGGTTGGTCTTCCTATGGGGCCACAAACCCCTTCAGGTCCTTCAGTCTTCTCTCTAACTTCTCCATTGGGAACCCCATGATCAGTTCAATGGTTAGCTGTGAGCATCTGCCTCTGTATATGTCAGGCTCTGGCAGACCTCTAAGGAGACAACTATAGTCTCTGGTGAGAAGTCTGGTATAATTTTTGTAGGTCTGCTTTTATATGTTACTTGACTTTTTCCCTTACTGCTTTTAGTATATTTTCTTTGTTTTGTGCATTTGATGTTTTGATTATTATGTGACTGGAGGAATTTCTTTTCTGGTCTAGTCTATTTGGAGTTCTGTAGGCTTCTTGTATGTTCATGGGCATCTCTTTCTTTAGGTTAGGGAAGTTTTCTTCTATAATTTTGTTAAAGATATTTACTGGCCCTTTAAGTTGGGAATCTTCACTCTCATCTATACCTATTGTCCTTAGATTTGGTCTTTTCATTGTGTCCTGGATTTCCTGGATGTCTTTGGTTAGGAGCTTTTTGTATTTTGCATTTTCTTTGACAGTTGTGCCAATGTTTTCCATGGTATCTTCTGCACATGAGATTCTCTCTTCTATCTCTTGTATTCTGCTGGTAATACTTGCATCTGTGACCCCTGATCTCTTTCCTAGCTTTTCTATCTCCAGGGTAGTCTCCCTTTGGGATTTCTTTATTGTTTCTACTTCCATTTTTATGTGCTGGATGGTTTTGTTCAATTCCTTCACTGGTTTGGTTGAGTTTTCTTGCAATTCTTTAAGGGATTTTTGTGTTTCCTCTTTAAGGATTTCTACCTGTTTACCTGTGTTCTCCTGTATTTCTTTACGGGAGTTATTTATGTCCTCCTTAAAGTCCTCTATCTTCATCATGAGAAGTGATTTTAAATCTGAATCCTGCTTTTCTGATGTGATGGGGTGTCCAGGACTTGCTATGGTAGGAGAACTGGGTTCTGATGATGCTAGGTAACTTTTGTTTCTGTTGCCTATATTCTTATGCTTGCCATTTGCCATCTGGTTAACTCTAGTTCTACCTGCACTCACTGTCTCTGACTGGAGACTGTCTCTCCTGTTATCTTGCTTGTGTAAGAACTCCTCAGAGTCCAGCTGTCTCTGTGGTCCTGTGATCCTGAGATCCTGGGTAGAAGAGCTCCTGGGACTCAGGCTGCCTCTGAGGTCCTGAAATCCTATGGTCCTGAGTGTGTTAGAGCTCCTGAGAATCCAGCTTCCTCAACTGCTCTGAGTACAGTGGTTTCTCTAGGATGGGTCTGCTCTTCAGGAAAGCAGACCAGCTAGTCAGGGATCTCTTATCAGTATAATCATCACCGAGCATCTGTCCTTCCTGACTGGCTCATTTCTTAGAGCATAATGAAAAGGTCTCTGCATGTTGTAGCAGAAGTCAAGGGTTTGTATCTGCAGGAATCAGCCCTTCTTCCCAGCTGTGGCCCTGCCTCCCCTTGAGGTGATCATGTCTGGGTGTCTGAGGTACTCATTCCCCTGCCTTCCTAACATCTCTCTTTTCCATTTCCATTTGGAGATGAGCCACATTCCAGTGGTCATTGGTTCTAAAATATACCTATGTATGTAATCTTGGATTATGTCTTTAAACTGTCAACTAGGTACTTCTGATTTGCTTGACTTCCTTTTGCTCCATCTTTGATAAGGTGAATTGGCTTAACCCTCTCCAGAGGGCTATAGTCATGGTATCTACATCCCAGGGAAGGAAACTGAGTCCCAGAGAATTACCCTCCTTGCAGAACCATCAGTATTGAGTATTTAAGACTCTACCCTGTCTCAGGACAGGGAACACTGTGTATACTGTGGGGCTGAGGGAATTCTTGGAGACTGACTTCCCTCAGGTAGCTAACTCTGGGCTCTGCCTGGGATTTTGTATAACTCTACTCCCTGCTGCTGAGAAATCTGAGGCTTTATGAAGACTGATGTTGTCAGCAGAGAGACCCGCCATTTGCAAATGGAGCTGGACTATCAGTAGACTACCTTGCAGCTCATTTTATCATTTTCTACCGAAGGCCCATCCACTTGACATTCAGGGAAGCTTTTAGGGCAGATTACAATGTGATACCTGTCCAGGTCATGCCCTGCCTATATGCTACTGGGGGCTGAGACTGGGCTACTATCATGCACCTGTTAGGATATCCATCCTTGGAAATCTGGGTCCTTCTGGAACTCATAGGAGATCTTTCTTTCCACTTTCAACCCCTTGTGACTTGTCCCTTATTTCCAGGTGTGCATAAGGAACATTGGAAGACAGATCCCTTTGATCATCCAGTACTTCACCCTGCAAACATTTGGAGAGGAAATGGAGAAATCCATGCTTCAGCTTTTACAGGACACCGAGAGATGCAGCTGGTTCCTGGATGAGCAATGTGATACCAGAGAGAAGAAGAAGTTCCTGAAGAGGCGTATTTTAAGGCTGGATGAGGCTCGGCACAAACTTACCAAATTCTCTGACTAATCAGGCTGACTATGTTTGCTTTCCTGGTAGTTGCACAATGATGCTTTAGCTGCTTACCTTAAGGTAGTATGTTGTCTTTAGACTGGAAGCAAGTTCTCTGCAAACTCTGAGGAGATGAGGAAACAGGAGCTATGGAGAGTCATTCTACTTCAGTAAGACATGACCGAGCTATGGAGAGTCATTCTACTTATGACCCTCTCAAAGCACAGGAAGATGGCACCTATCAGGATCCTTCCTGCTCCTAACTCTGCCTTTTCTTTGTCAGGACAATGTACTGGCTGAGCACCTCAGAAGGGACAGCTCCAGGTTTGTGCTGTCCTGTCTGGAAGCAGTGCAAAAGCTGCCACAGGGTCTTGGTAGAACAGCTCTTTGTAGGCATACATTTTTTGTAACCTACTTTTAACAAGGGTTCAACCTCTCTTTTAGCCCGCCACCCATCAGAGGTAGTGGAAGAGAAAAGTTATTAGGCTGTGGGGGAAGAGGACCTGTTCAGCAATAGTTCTTTGGGAGTGAGTTTGATCTTCTTTGGCAGCAGTATAGTCCCATAGCAAACACCAAATATGACTCAGAAGAAGCTGCAGACCAGTCCTCTAGGCAGGCAGATACCACACACAACCAGTGGCTATAGTCCAGTACTTTCTGCAGGCAGACACAAAGCACAAAGCAGTAGCTGTAGTTCAATCTTGAAGAAAGCTTGCCAGCCAGACTGAGGTGAGACTGCAGAAGTGACAAGCTGCTGCAGGAACCTCACAAGTAGTTCTTAGGCAAGTTTCCCTCAATGGAGGTGTTACCACCATTGAGCTCAACAATGCTATGTAAGGTGAACCATTACATGTATGTTGTTAGTAAAGAATAGCTAGGCGGAACAAACCAAACCAATGCTCAGTTGCTTGTCTCCCATTGTTTGTGGGGTTATATTTATACTCCTTCATCATGAATCCTTTCATGTGCTTGCAATATCAAAATATCCTTTCACTTGTGTCTGCTTCAGGAAAACACTCTTTCACGTGTTTGCTTCAGCAAGACATCCTTTCGCCTGTATGCCCCAGGAACACATCATTTGACATAACTAACTTTCCAGCAAAACTACAAGTTTCCACTTCAGCTCTTCCAATAAAATTCTTGCTAAATGATACTTGCATGATTTGTTTTGTATTTGGGGAAGGGGTTGAACCCCACAAGAAGGGGAGCAGGTAGGGGCAGAGGAAGTTGCACTGAGCCACCTTTCCTGACTAGGGGAGATAGAACAAGGAGATAGACTGAGTGTTTTCAAGGGACCACAGGATGGTCAGTGTGAATAGACAAAATAGTGGTGAGGCTCATCTGTTCTTAGCTACCAGTGTAGGCAGAGACACCATAAAGAAATGTTAAATGTCACATTTAAGCAGAAAACACATGCTGACAGATGCCAACAGCAGCCACTTGGGTTCTTCTGTATGAAAAACCATGTCCACTCTCCTGCCCAAGTTCCCACAGGGCAACAGGGTACCACTTTTAAAGTAGCATCCCTTCCATCATGAAGTAGTATGGACTTTGGGAAGAAGCTTATGGGCAGAGATTCTGGGCTCAGTTTTGGGCTGCCTGAAGATGTAGAACTCAACATGATGGGCCTCAAGGACTCTGTGGGAGAGGAAAGCCAGGTAAGGCCCTTCTGAGAGTCATGGGAAAGCTGAGTCCCCAGAGTAGAAGTCAAGAAAGGGACATGTCACCCTCAGCTTCCATAGCACCTCACCCCAGCCCAACCTAGTAAGCAGCCCTGACAGTCTCAAATTAACAGGGAGCTCCAGTGTGACCCTGTGCTAGGATTAAACACATTAGCGATTAACTAAGAATCACCTACAATGCATTTGTGTCACATTAAGGAAAGAAAAGCCCGTGCCCTGGAGTCACTTAACAGAAATCAAGTCCTGATTTGAGTTCTTCACTTCATGATCCCTGTGTCTTCTGTCCTCTGTCTGTCCATTTTGTGAGTCTGACTCTGTCCTGCCTTTAGGCTGCCTTGTGAATCTGTCCTTATGTCTGTGTGCCTGTCACTGATAAAGGTATTGGCTTTGTATTTATTTAACAGCTCAAAAAGCATCATGTGTTGAAGGAATGACGATGTTTTACAGAAATCTTTAACAGAGTTTTACAAGGGACCAAGTTACAGGCTCCAGTCGGCTCCAACTGATTCCAACTGCCACCCTCCCACAACAAATAGTACTACGACATCATTGTTTATTAACCAATATCCATAAATGGATATTCATTTTAGAAGGCTTCTTTTAACCTCTGTATTTTCTGTTTTCAACAAATGATACATGTCTAGTTCTGGGTCAGGGCCATTGAAAAGTACACAACTTCAGATTATGTAGCTGTGCTGTCACTAGTCTGAAGGGTTAGACCATTTTTTTTTTCTCCCCAGCCAGTGTTCATTTGAGCTGCCAAGAAAAACCTTAAAACACAATCAGCCCAAACTGTGTATCAAGGCAGGGCACAGTCTGTGGATGGTTCTCCTGGATCTGCCCAGCTTCCCTGTTCCTCAGCGGCTGTCAGAAGTTACACTTGTCCAAAGAAGATGGAATTAGCCAGACCTTTGTTGTATGACAGCTTATAGCTCTTGTAACCTCTTATAGCAAGACTGCATGTTGGCCTTATTCCTATAGGCATGCTCACTAACGCAGTACACCATGGAGTAGCCAAGGTATGGCAATGTAATGTAACTATTGACACTCCACAGAGAGGATCGGGAGACCCTTGCCTGGGACTCCAGCTATGTCTCCCTTCCCCAGCTACAAGTGGCCTTGGAAGATGCTAGCATAGATACCTGGTGAAAGGGTAACTGAGAGCAAGTCTTTGTGATGTAGCCTCTCTGAGGTTGCAATTCATGATGGGGTTGGATTTTGAGGTGCTGCTGCTGTCTGGGGGGTCACCCACATTCCTGTGACTCACTTGTGATGAACTCATTGGTTTTACAAGCTGGACACTGGTGAAACTGTACTTTTGTCTGCAGCAATTCTCCTGCACCAGTAGGACTCCTAGTCTGAAACTCAGACATGCTGACTATATTTTGTTCATTTACATACAGTTTGGATATGCTAGACTGGAAACTCCCCCCCCCCCTTTTTTAGTTCTATGTCACAATCACATGCTAGGGTCTTGGCCTGAGTGATCCCTCCTACAGAAGCAAGCCTCCTGACTCTGCCCATGTCCTTCCTGAAGGAGTCCATCTTCTTTGTGCCCCTGTCCCCACCTCAGGGATTAGAAGTATTTTCAATGTGTGAGTTTAGAGTGGCTTTGAGGGAGAAATAACTCAGCCCACAGTCTGTCAGTCCCTTTCCTTTGATGCTGTATGTCCTGAACACTTTACTTGTTGTGGTTTGGTGCTAGCAAATTAAAAACAAAACAGCAACCTCCCCCCCCCAAAAAAAAAACCCAAAACCTCTTTGATTTTCCATTTCAGTCATATAAGAGCAACAACATGAGGTTAGGATGATAGATCCAGTAATGAGACAAACTTTAAAATAAATGTGTGTGTGTGTGTGCGTGTGTGTATGTGTGTGTGTGTGTGTGTATGTGTGTGTGTGTATGCGTGTGCATGTGTGTATGTGTGTGTGTGTGTGTGTGTGTGTGTGTGTATACCTCTGAGAGTGAGAACCTAGACACATTAAGACATCCTTCTGAGCCTCAGTTTTCCTTCCAGCGTGACAGTCAAGCACTCATGCACATAGAGAATTTGAAGATGAAACTTGATCTAGAAATCTAAGACAATCTGGGTGAGACCTGTAAGCAGTGGAGTGGAAGGATAGGCATTCAATAAACCTGCCTGAGAAAATAATGACCTGCATTTACAGTATCCAAGGACAGGTCTGTCCACAAAGCTTCTCAATAGCTCCACCTAGTGACAGATATGTGAAATCACACCTGCAAAGACACCCACAAATAAGAATGGCAAAATGCAATTCACCTGGGACTGTGGTTTCCAAAACAAAACCAATAGGAAGTGTTTCCCTCATGATCAGAGAATAGCAACCCGGGTGTTTACCCACTCACTGCTGCCTCCTTCTAATGAAGGTTTTGCTAGTATTTTGAGACAGGGTCTCACGTGTAGCCTAGTCAGCCAGGAACTCACAATCCTCCTGTCCCAGCCACTGTCCCAACTCCCAACCCTCCCCATTCTGGGTGTGAGTATGGGAACATTCCACTGTACCAGCTCAAATGGTGTCTGCATGCTTTGAGATTTTTTTCATTTCCTCCTGTTGAGGGTACTGTTGATAGAAGTGTATAGTCATGGAAGAGCCTACATGGTGTCATTGTCACATAGATGTCTGCATGTGTGGGCAGCTGTGCTTTTCTGTCTCTGGGTGGTCATGGCTCAATTTTGGGAATCTTTCTCTATTACTCTATTACTCTCCACCTTACTTTTTGAGACAGAGTCTCTTACCAAACTTGGAGTTCTCTCTTCCAAGCTAAACAGGCTGGCTGGTGAGCCTAGAGAATCCACTTGTCTGTATTCCTACCTTCCCCCAGCCCTGGTGTGGCTTGGTTTTACATGGGCACTAGAGATTTGAACTCCAGACTCATGTTTTCATAGCAAGTACTTCACCCACTGGGCTATCTCCTTAGCACCCAAAGAACCTATTTTTAAAAAATTAAATCACAGTTCTCAGATGGTGTTGTTTGGTTTACTGAGTGTTTCAGCTGCTTCCAAGAGGGGCCTTCTTTAGAGGCTGGACCACTAAGCCACACCCTTACCACACAGATGGTTATGCACCTGGTCCTGAGGCATGGCTGCAGGAGTGCTTCTGAGATAACTGGGCCGAGCTAAGGCCCACACCAGGGCAAGCACTGGGGCTGAGCATTGTTGAGCAGTACCTGGTAGCTGGTTCTCGGGTTCTAGTCCTGCACTGGTTCACTTGCTTAGCTTTGATATTTCTGTGACCTGCAGGAATTCCAAAGCTGAGACCCAAGAGGCATGAGGTTAAAGAAACAATTCTGAACCCAAGTAGGACATGTTATTTATTCAGACTGAGTCAGACACCTAGTTCCTTTTCAGTGGTATACATTTTAGCAGGATGGACAAGTACAAAAATAAGATTATTCTAAAAAATTCCAGGTCAGAGGGCCCAGCAACCATTGTGGGCATTTGTCAGGAGCCAGGGAGCTACTCTGTGGCACAAATGTCTCTCTGTTCCACACAAAATTCTAACCACAAGTTGATTTGAAATCAGTTCAGTGCCCTGGAAATGAAGGGAGATTCCCAAGAAAACATTAACCAGTTAGAAGCATCTTCAGAAATACAATTTACACTCAAGAACCATGTAGGAAAATATGAAAATAATGAGAGCTATACAAAACACACTGTGTAAAGCATTACTTTCTGCCTCTCATTTATTTATTTACTTATTTACCGTGAACTATCATGTATTTCTGGGTGGTATGAAACTCACGGTGTACACCGGGCATCATAGAGATCTAGCTCTGCCTTCCAAGTGCTAGGATTAAAAGCGTGTGCCACCATGCCTGGTGCATGGCTTAGAGCTCTTCCAGCAGAACCCAAACCTTGCATGCCTGAGAAACAGGAGACATGAGTAGCTCTTTCAGTGCCTAGAGGAGAGCATCTTAAACCTTAAGGGTACTCAACTGTGCAGAGGAACAGAGGCAGTAGGAAACAAGTCGTTTTACACTCCACATTTCAGCTTTCACTTGCAAGTGAGAATCCCACCTACCCTGTGGGTTTGAACCTTCAGCTCCTCGCTGGTAAAAACATGTGATCCTGCAACAAAGCGGGAATCGATGGGGCAGCATTTTATACTTCTGGGCTAAAGGACAAAAGTTCACAAAGCTTCGAAGACATTTTCCTCCCTCACTCTCTCTCTCTCCTTCCTTTTCAGTACTAGGGCTTTGTGAATGCTAAAGACGAACTCTACTATTGAACTTCACTCCTAACCCCAAGAAATTTTACTTCTTGCGATTTTTACTACTGACTTTTTTGTTTCAAATATATTTATTATTTTTACAGATTCTAAATACAATAATGATCCTGCAATGCATGCTGGTATCTGTGATGCCAGGCTCAGCATGACTGTCCAAAAGGCACCTGACTAGGTGAGGCAGCTTTCTGAGGGGATCCAGAAGAGCAATGGCTAGTGGCAA